CGCATTTTGAGTGCGGTTATTAGAGTTTGATTTAGAATGGGATCATTTAACCAATGAAAAACGTTGCTGACAAAAAATAAAGAGGCACCATGTCAGTGGTTTTCGCTTCAGAAACTCCTCTTATGCTGGTACAGAATTTCTCAAAAAACTAAAGTCATAGGAAATGATGTTTGCCACTTTTAATGCCCATCAGCGAAAGAGTTGACATGAAACTACCTTAGCAGTTCAAAATATTCTTTTGGACAGAGTTCTCCCAAATTCCAACCCACTGCATTTTCGGCAATAAATTTCGTATGAAACAAAGTTTGAGAGAAGGCTATTCAGTTGGGTATTTTGATTTATTAATGTTTATCAATCATGACTAAAGCAGGGGCGTATGATATCAATCAATAAGTGCGTGCGCATCTCCAGCCTAAAAAGAGCTTGGAGTCTTTAAAGGGGGCCTTTCTTCTTTTCATAATTGTTCATTGAGGTCAAGTAAGTCTAAGCAGAGGCGTATGTTATCAACTGCGTTACCACGCCAATAAAAAGAAGTTGTTTTTTCATTGAATAAAAAGTGCTCTTAACAGGTGAATCGACACAAATTCATATAAATTCTGGCTACTTTGGCGGAACTTCATTGGCTTGGCTGATGCCAGAGATGGGAATTATGAAGTTACTCTTCGTTCTCGTTTTTTTTGGAGTCGTTCTCTGCAAAGAGTCCAAAGGTAATGTTAAAATTGTTAGTAACACATTTTAGATTAAATTTCTAAATAGTAAATTTCGCGGAATATTTACGATTTTTTCCTAATTTATGAAACTATACGTGTCAAGGTGATTCGCGTTCGTGAATTGTTCACTTCTTATCCCTAAATGTACTCACAGAAAGAGACTCGAGAAATTAAATGTAGAAAAGGTGCTTTATTTTGTTTTTTGCACCCCAAATAAGCCTTAGAAGCTCCTAGGCGACACTCCGTTAAAAATCGCTTTTTAAACAACTCGCTAAAACTAACAAGATTTGGACATGGGAATACGATTTATCATAGTTTATTTGCAATTAGGTTCTCAAGAACTCGTTGATTATAGGAAAGCTAGACTAAAGGTAACGCTGAAATTTCGTTTTCAGCGAAGCTTCTTGAAGATCCGAAACTCTTGGAAGGAGACATTATCCTTACAAGAAACCAACGTATCTCTGCTATGGGCAGAGCTGCATCTAGAACCGGAAGATGGCCGGGTGCCACGATGGTATATGCCATTGATCGTTCTCTGTGTAAGTACTTATATGTAACATTTATGGTTAGTTGTGCCTTTTGACAGGGTGCATGATAGCAAAGTGAAATGTCTACAGCTGAGTTATAGAAACTAGTGAGAAAGGTTTTATTCTTATCTTTGCTCTCAGTTTTGCGCGTGGCGTGAATTGTTAAACTTTCAGGTTAAGATTAAATAGGAACATTTATCTGTGATCACTCGTGAGTGTTTTTTGTTTTTTTGTTTTTTTTTTACTTCTTTTGA